TTCGGGTCGAAACTCTCGCCGGAGAAGGGACCTAAATCCAGATTCATGGCTACTCGGACGTTGATCCGATTCAGAGATCCATGGAATTGGAAGCTGATTTGAGATCGGAAGAAGGAGTCCAATGTAATTAGCAAGCGTCTCTTTCGATTCTGATTTATTTTAATTTTCGAAAAATATTTTTTCTTAAATTAAAAATTACATTTACTGTAAAATAATAATTATACTTTTTCTTAGAAAAATAATAAATGGGCCTTCTGATTCAATATCAGCGGCCTGTAATATTTGTTTGGGCTTTTTCACGTGAACCATCATATCATATATGGGCCCATTTTGGGCCTTCAAATCCCACATGTTCGGCCCAACTCTAATATTTATTTTGGGCTTGTTCAATAAATACCTTCGTCTTACAAATAATAATATAATATCTTATGTTAAAAATAATAATATAAATTAAAACTTTGAATATAAATGAACGTGGAGAATAAAAATAAATAAAAAATAAAATGGTAATTAAATAATTAGTGGGGACACGTAAACCTATTTAATTTAAATTTCTAGCTCAGCAACTACATCATCGTTTTTCCATCACAAATTAAATCCCGCTTGCTAATATTAAAATATTTTAACAATTCATGTTATTATTATTATTATTATTATTATTATTATTATTATTATTCTCTCAACGTCACAATCGATACATTATTATTATTATTATTATTACAATTAGTCAAATAAAAGTCAAATCTTCTCCTTTAATTTTTTCTGTAAATTGCCAACTAATTAACCATGAATTTCAATTTATTTTTAATATTAAAATATACTTTTGATTCTCGAACAATTAAAACAAATCACAAATGTCACCGAAATCAAAATCGTAATAATTATATGAAAAATAAAAATATTTTTTTTTAATGTATGATTCATTTCATCCAAATAAAGAATTTAAAGTTAAAATTGACGGGTTAAATTAAGAACACGAGAAACGTTTCTATTTAATATAATAATAAAAATATAAAAATAATTAGGTGAGTTAGGTGGAACATGGTTGGCTACCCTAATTAAATTTCTTATTGATAGGTTCATAACGCAACGTTAGGACACCTTTTTTTAATTACATCAGTCAATTCGTTCATAAAATGCCACCAAATCTGGACAACGATTCGATTCATATAGCTTCTATATATAAAAATAATTTATTTCATTTTAAATGACTATCGCCCAAAAAAAATTTAAATAACACGTTTTCAGTACTATATTTCATAAAACTCACGTTCGCAAAAGGCTATTTGTGGAATTATATTAAAAAAAATTAAAATATCACGAGATTCAAGTCACCTGTTATCTAAATAAGTATTTTCATCTTATAAATTTTAAAAAATATTTTTTTAAAGTATTATAATTATTTTAATTATTTTAAATTATTTTTACTATAAATAGAATCATCATAATGAGTCAATATTTTTATTATTATAATTTTTAAAAAATGTATATAATGTGTACTAAACACCGTTATGTATCGATTCGATGTTGACAAAGATATCATTATTCTGTGTAGCAGTTGTATAATCGCTTAATTTATTAATAATTTCAACTAGTCATTTTCCATTAATTATTTTATTTTATTTTATTTTTATAATTATAATATTTTTTAAACCCTATTTTTGTTTTTCATGAGGCCCAAAAATAAGTGAATATTAATCCTAGGATTGATTGGCCCTTTTACACCTCCAAAAGCCATTTTTAAGTCATTACAGTGTTCTAGTCCTGTAAAATTCACAAAGCAAAGGTAAAAATATAATGGTAACTTTTTTGAGTGGGTAAGTAAAACAATGTAATTTCATTTAATTTATAGGCCAACTAGACTTATATATATATAGAGCAATAAATATTTGAATCTATAATTTAATAACAGAGACATTAAACATCTATATCCACCGTCCTATATTTGTCATTAAATAAATAGGTTTAATAACTATCAGTAATTTTTATTTACAAATATCTTTTTTTTTTTTTTTGTTT